AAGGGTTAATCCAGCCCTGCGCAGGGATAGAGCAGGCAAATTGGAAAGGACGGGGGCAAAATTCACCCGGGCAACGCCGGGTACCTCTGCTAGTTTAAAAATATATCTATATCATGTAATTTGAAAATACTATAGGTTTTTGCGTCATTTTCAATCGATTTGTAGAATTAGACGCTGTGAACTGCGATCATTAGATGGACTGGGTGCATTTCGCAAAGCAACACCGAATGTGATTTCATCGATCAAAAAAGCCTCACCATTGTTTCTACGTCAAAGTAGAAATTGGTAGCGATCACCACATCTCCCCTTTTTCTCAAATATATTTCAGATTATCATATAAAGAAGAAGGAAACTGCAATGCATTTGAGTTTCTCATTCTTGATGATGACATCAAGGGATGGCTGTCCGTACAAGTCCTCTTATGAACTTTTTTAAATATTGCTATTTGCTTCCTTGAACATAATTGTTAACTCCATATTCCACAGGCGGAAAATTCCTTTGGAACCCTTAAGCCACCAATAAATCCCCACGGGGTCCACAATTCAAAATTAATTTTTAAAATTGGAATCATCGCTTCGATAAGTATTTTTTATTGAAAAAAGTCAGCTTCGTATAACATGTGGAACCTACATGGAATAAATAAAGCAATGGTCGTCATATATTGGATGTGTGGAGGTTCTCAACATACCTGAGTTACTTACAAAAATCCCAAAACCACGGGCCAGGTTGATCCATTCCTTGATTTTCATCAAGGTGTGCAGACCTTTATATCTCCAGGAATCATTCACCACTTCCGCGTGCTCGATGCCCAAAATCTTGATGTCGTAATCATCAGTGATCCTGTTTGAGAGCATTAGAAGACTCGGATACCTTATTCTATTGTTCCTAGACACATGGCAGCAAATCACTCGGTTATTGTTCTTGCTAAGTGGGTGACACACATGTGCTCACATGTAGCACTGTTCTATATACTGCCAGCAACAATGTTGAATTATATTATGTAGGGATGAGTTGGGGGGGGGGGGGCGTTTTGGTACATGCTCCTGTCATGGATATGAATAAAGAATATGTTAACCTAATGGTAACCAATAGCTCAGTGACAAGGGAATACTTTTTTCTGTGGTGCTATGGACACGGGGATCAATCCTAATCGCGTATTGCACTGAGAAAGAAGAAAAACTCTTTAACTGAAATACCGAAATGGGCAGGTTCTACTTCATCAAACTTGCATACAGCTTTTCATTTTCAAGTAGATTCACTAGCTAGATATTGTAAATAATGGGATCTTAGATTCCAGCAAGGCCTGCGATTTAAAAGGAATATTTGACTCAAATTTGTCATTAAATTCTTCCATTCTTGAGACAAAATCCTACATGAAATATCGGAAATTTAATAATACTGTAGTGTGGAAGTAAACCAGGAGAGCCACATAACATATGAAGAAGTATATTTGTTCCTACTTTAAAAAATAAACGGTGGAATTCTTCCTGTGAAAGAAAGAGAAGCGGGGATATGTGTGAGATAGGCATAATGCATCAATTCTCCAAACCCTAAAAAAAGGAAAATACCTCATCTGAAAAACTGCTAGATTTCTGCAATGTATGTTTAATCACACACCTCTCTTCCCATTGCAAAGCCAGATTTCTATCCCAGGTCAAGCTCAAGTGTTCCACTCGAACATCCATCTTATAGGTGGCGTTCTTCTCCTCTGCAACTTTAGCGATGATGCTCCAGAATGCGCGGGGAGCGGCAGAGAAAGTAATTTCTTTGCTCCAATCCAATGCTCTTAAAGACTTTTCCAAGAGCTCCATGTCAGATTCCAAGCAGCAGAATAAATACGTCTCCTCTTGAACTGGTTGGCTCTGCCATTCCCGCTTTCCGTGGTTTTAAATCATCATTGCAAGAAAAGGTCATTTGATGTCCTAATGTAACGGATTTAAGCACATAATGAACTCACGTAACACAGGAAGACGACGCGGAGCTCATTTGGATCGACTGGAACAAGAACCTTGGCGAAAGGTAGAAGTCCAGCTTTCATCATTAGAAGTGTGTTGTATGCCTTAAATGATAGAAAATAGTTCACACAATATTAAATTAATCTAATGAAATGCTGGAAGGTTCAGGAACAACCGTGGCTAGTTCTTTTTTTTTTGTTCACTGTTGAACACTTACCGCATCATATTCGTCAGATTTATTCCCGAATGATGTATTTGCCAACACATGAACTGGTTAAAACGTTGGGAAAAGTGTGTATGGAGAGAAGACTATCATGAAAAGTGAGAGAGGTGACTTAACGAAATTCGATATACTTTAGGATTTGCAGTATGATGGCATTGCTGCATGTTGCGATCTCATACATTATTAATGCGTTACTTGAAAATTCCTGCAAGAAACAAAGAGCTAAGTACCCTAAAGGAGAAAAGATTAAAACATTCCCGAATATTTTTGTCATTGTACAGGGTGACTCAAAAGTCCTTGGACACCTTCTTATCCTGGAACACGGAAGGACGTCCACTTCTTTGGCGATCTGCTTCTGATCCAAGCTCATTGTATCGCCGAATAATGCTGTAGATAGTAGATCGAGGGGTTTTGGTGGGCTTTGAGATCCTGCTTGTTATAAGAGCACTCTGGTTTTGAAAAATCACTGCTTCTCTTTGAAGTTTGGGAACCATTTCAAGAGCTTTCGACCTGAAACTTGGAAGGCAAATAGATCTTTAGTAGAAGTTGCTTCACTCAAGAAATCACCTGGCTATCACTTGTCCAACGGTATTTTCAATAGGTGTCCAAGGACTTTTGAGTCACCCTGTGGCCCTAACATGCAAACGCTAAAGAATATTGATTTAAAGGTAATAACTTCAATATGTTCAGTAAAAAGTAAAAAATGTTGCGGTTCTGCTACTTTTAAACTCACTTTTGTTTCATGTACAAAAAATTGACCAGCAATATCTTGCAAAATTGCTGAATATCCAACCATTCTCATCTACATAGTCCTCCTGTGATTACAAGGACAGCAAAATGAGTTTAAGTCACGGAAGTTTTCACTAATTGTGGCGAGAATATGCAATTCAGAAACATCGCAAGACTTACTGAAACAGTTTCAGGTAGGTAGTGCTCGAGGAAAACCCGAATATCCGTCAGCTCATTCCTCTCCACTTCACGCAATTGCACTTCCTCTACCATCTCAGAACATTGTTGTTTCCTCAAAGTAAGTCAGTTTCATTTAGATGTCATTTAGATAGAGCAAGAGGCGTTCAACGGACCTGAAATGAATACTTTCAACATATAATTTCAAGCATTATTCCGATATTCAAACCTTGGTATCCATAGCCTATTTCGAACATTAAAGCCATCCACAGAAGCATCTGTGAAGTACGGTTTTAGGACATGTATATGTTAGAGTATTCCGATTTCATACTATTTGTATTACCTAGTCCATTTCAACAGCGGAGAACACCATAGTGGTTGGAGAGATAGAACAATTCTGATAACTGAATATCTTACGGAAAGTGTTCACGGTCGCGAGACCACCAGTCGGAAGCTCATGCGCAGTAGGTCGTTCCAAGATGGGGTGCATCCACGTGGGAAAAAACTTCGAAGACGGGCCGCTGTGGCGTTCCAATGTGGTACACGTTGGCACACCCATCAACAGATACTCCGATTGCATGGCAAGGGCGTGGGACGAAGGGAGGGATGCCCTTGGCCGTTCACACTCACGATTAATCTCTTGCATGACAAACATTCGGTCACATGATCCATGTGTGACACCGGCAGGCACTTGTCAACATTGGGTGAGAGTGACGCCTAGATCTTCCGCTCGGTCCCTATTTAGGCCTTATTTATTTTTCCCCATTGCACATTCTATGATCTTGGGAGAATAAAAGGAAAAGGAATTGAAACAGATATGCCAGGCCGTCGTTTCACTTTCGACCAGTATGTGCAATTGTTGGTAGTGCAAGAGTGGAAAGCATCTCTCCCAGACCATCTCTCTCCAGACATGGAGAAATTAGTAGCACAGCGAAGCGGGGGAGGTTCATTTGTATAAACGTTGCACGTAAATATATATTGCGAGCATACCGGCTCAGTTTATCTATTTCTATATAAAAAAAATTGTCACTCCATTTTATCAAATGATCCTGGGAATTCGTGAATACCATGAGTAAATAAATTTCCATGAGAAAATCGCCCTTCGCTTTTTTGTTCAATTTATACTGATTTGTTTCCTACTATAATTCCAGAGGGAAAACATTTTAAATTTAGTTTCAATTGATATGGACTCAGTGAGAGTAGTTCTCCCCCTGCCGATGTCAGCCATAACCTTCCAGCTGCCATAAGTCAGAACATAGTATTATTTCATTTTAAGTAAATCGGGTTCTAATATCGGTTTACTATTGTTTAGCAGCGTCATTGGTGAGATATCGGGGTCGATGACTTTGATTATACATTCAGAAAGAAGCATCCCAGATCCCCCTTCCCCTAAACACAGTGATTAATGGATCAGAATGCCAAGCCTCTTGATCCTGTTGCTGTGTTGCGCAATATCGCTTCTGATACTCTATGAAAAGGGAGACACTCCTGTATTTTTATTTAAATAAAACGGGAGTGCTACTTAATCAATCAATAATATGACGGTCTGGAGTTCCAAGTTTCAAGGTTCTTGAATGAACGAAACATTTTTCCAATGAGCAAATCGTGAGCAGCAGCATCAACTGCAGGATGATTTTTAACTAAAACGAGTATAATTCGTGATTGAATGAGAGTACAACATTCGAGAAGAAATAGCTTAAAGAAAGAAACAGCACTTCAAGAATGTATGCTATTCTGGCTTCCTGATAGGACATTTCGGTGCGGAATGCAAGGAAGGACCTAGGACTTTGATGCAGGTCTTCCGGGACTCCTCGTGCTCCCCTGGACCTGTTGCATTTTAGGCTTTGGTTATACAATAACGTGTCTCTGTGGCTAAATACCGTATGGTGCTCCCATGCTTTACGTTTCATTGTGGTGCATAATGGTCACGCTAAATTTCTCAACATATGCTAAAAACTAGTCTGTATACTTCGAAGCAACATATAACAAATTTCAGCTCACACCTCTGAGATGTACTTTAATAATCCAGCAATGTACTCGGGAATGCATTTTTATAAATGTGTTTTTTTTTTCCCCAATTCATTAATTATTTTTAAGAGTGATAATTCTTGTCATATACGTATTAGATGCAGTCAAGTGGAAATTGAACAGCTCAAATACAACGTGAAACGCTCTCGCCTACCGTATACTATTATTTTGCGTTGCAGGCGAGTGCCTTAATTATATTACATCAAGCAAAATGGGATACTTTATATTTGAAGGACCCTCTACGAGTTACAATCTGCGCGAACGATTCCGCAATGTATGTGAATCAGTAATGGATGATATGTGACCTAGAAAATCGCAACGGGCACTCACACAGGGGGCCACAAAGGATGAAGCTTGTGGGTGAACCGATGCTTAGCTGAGTATATGATCTCTGTTCCAGTGCGTGGAAGTTTAGGGTCCGTACAGTCAATCTTTCACGAACATACTTTACATAAAAGCGTGCGCGCATTGGGTTCCAAATTTTCTGACGCAGGAAGAGATGTTTGCGCGTATGGACCTGGCACTGAAACAGTTGCTGTGATATTATGCAGAACGCATTAATTTTGTATTTTATATGGTCGGTAGAGCCAAAACCTACTGACATCATTCTCAACCCACGACGGAACGTTCCAGGATGCAGTAGAAGCATGATTTTTCACCAATAACCAACAATGTAAGACA